AAAAAAAAAAAAACAACTCATAAGGAATGATGTTTAACATCATTCTCTAGCCATTAGGGAAATGCAGAAAAAAACTACAGTGTGATTTTTATAGGATTTTATCCTAGTAAAATAGGTAGGGTCAGGCAGTTGGTGGGAGATGAGAAAAAGAAAATAGAAAATACCGAATGCTAGTGAGAATCTAGAGCAACTGTAAATTTCATGCATTGCAGGTAGGGATGCAAAGTGGTATTATAACTTGGGAAAATCTGTCAGTTTCTTATAAATACAAACATACACTTGTTACATTACCTGTCCTCTTATGTATTTACCTAAGAGAAATGAAAAATGCTCATAATAAAGCATTGTATTTGAATAATCATTAATTGAATAAGTGAATTATAGGACATCTATATAATAGAATACTATTGACCAATGAAGTGGAATGAACTAATCCATGCTACAACATGTATGATCTCAGAAGCATTATGTGTTTGAGAAAGCAGCTCAACCAACCCCCAAATTTGTATGAGTCCTTTCATTCTGGAAAAGAAGAGAAGGAAAGAAAACAGGACATGTTTGCTAGGGGCAGAGGGTGGTGCTAGAAGATTGCCTACAGAATATAAGACAGAACATTTTGAGTATTAGAAAGTGTTTATCTTAATTATAAACATTAGAAACTTTTATGTATTTTTCAAAAATCAGAGATTTGTACAGCCAAAACAGGGTGAATTTTGCTATGAATTGTACTTTGATGACCCCAATTAAAAAAAAAAGTTCATTGGATGCAGAAGGAAAGTAATGAAAGAAGAGAATGTAATATTTTTCCAATTTTATTTTCTTCGAGAAAATAATTGCTTTAATTGAGTCTTACAATACTTGATTTTGATGCCAAGGCTTCATTCTTTCACTTAAAAACAACTGGTTTACGTATGCATACCTTTTACTGAATTACATACACCAGTGAGTTAATTCTTTATGTCTCAAAGTACTGCAAATAGTTACAACTCTCTTGGGATTTTTGCTAGAAATATGGAAATGTTTAGGTATTTCTTAACAGTTTTCTTGGAAAGTCTAAAGATGAGCCCTCTCCTTAATTATTTGCTAAAATCATCTAATAGAAAACTACAGGTTTTTTTTGTTTGTTTTTTAGGTAAGCAATATAGAAAAGTATGGGCTTAAGTAAAAAGGTAAAACTCCCTCTTTGATTTCATTCGTTAATTATCACTGTTAAAAACTTGGGTTTATCCAACTTGAATTTTTTTGTGTGCGTTTTTGCACATGTATACTTTTTATTTTTACTTTTTGAGTCAAATGGGTCTGTACAATGTTTGTTTTGCTACAGTTTATTTTTTCCACCTAATACTCCCTAATATGGGGAGTATTACGCTGCATCATATTCACGTATTTATTTGGTAAATATTTTTACATACTTAATGTTTGAGGCACAATTCTAAATGCAAGGGTTAGAGCAAAGAACCAAATAGAGTCCCTGCTTAAGTGAACTAAGTGGGAGGAAGGAAATAAACAAATTGAAGGGGGGAAAATATCACTGTCATTAAGTTCATGAAGATAACAGGCAAAAGAGATCAACTGTGCTGAGACAGAATGAGCAGGACAGTTACATTAGATAGCTGCGGTATAGTCTTTTATATATAAAGTCACTTTATTCTTAATATAGATGTTCAGTATATGATTTATTTAACCATTTTATTGATGAGCATATTGATTATTTATAGTTTTTTCTACTTTAATCAATCTTATAATGAACACAGTTTTTGGTTTACATGTGCAACTGTTTTTTAAATAAATTCCTGGAAAGAAAATGTTATATATTTTGGATTTGGACTCTTCACTTATATTCCTGATTTAGCCAAATAATGTATTCCTTCAAAATATTAGCTATTATCTGTCAGTGGATGAAAAGAGTCATTTTAATTTGTATTAATCTGACTCCCAGTGAAGTTGAGCATATTTATTGGACATTCATATTTATCCTGTAAATTGCATACTACTCACAACACTTTGTCCATTGTGACATTTGTCTTTATCTTTTTGAAAGTTAAAAATTTCTTTAAAATTCTCTTATAATGTGTTACATTATATTTTGTAATATTTTTTCCTAGCTTGTCAGTTTTCTTATTTTATGACATCTTTGCATTTTTATTTTTATGCTATCAAAATGTATTAGTCTTTTCTTCCAAGTCTCCAGATTTTGTATCTTTCCAGAAGAGCCTTCTTTTATACAATATCATAACAACTAAATCTGTTACATTTTCTTCTACTTATTTAATTTTATTTGTTTCTAGTAGTAGATTTTGG